GAAAAACACTGTCAAAAACAATGTTTTGGAAGGATTTCTTATATATAAATATAAATATATATATATGTTGGAGTTGGCTACCGGCATTGGCACATGGAAAAATTGAAGAAAACACTGTAAATAGCGGTATTTTCAACGGTTGGGGGAGATAAGGGAATTGGAAGCATTGTCGAACATGATGTTTTCGACCGGTTTTATGGCGACAAAAGTGTAAAGTACCGTGCTTTGAAGGAAACCATTGCAAAAACATGGAAACACATTCAAAGAACAGGGGATTTGGGGACTATCTAGGCGTCGTTGTCTAGCTATTTGAAATTCCGCAGCTTGGAGAGCCTCCAAGGGAGGGAAAAGTGAAAATTCCATAGCTTGGGAAGCTGTCACGGTGGGGAAAAGTGAAAATTCCCTAGCTTGGGAAGCCCCCACGGGGGGGAAAAGTGAAAATTCCCTAGCTTGGGGAGCCCCCCACGGGGGGGGAAAAGTGAAAATTCCCTAGCTTGGGGAGCCCCCACGGGGGGGAAAAATGAAAATTCCCTAGCTTGGGGAGCCCCCACGGGGGGGAAAAGTGAAAATTCCCCAGCTTGGGGAGCCTCCACCAGGGGGAAAAGTGAAAATTCCCTAGCTTGGGGAGCCCCCACGGGGGGAAAAGTGAAAATTCCCTAGCTTGGGGAGCCCCCACGGGGGGGGAAAATGAAAATTCTTAGCTTGGGGAGCCCCCACGGGGGAAAACCACCCTTAGCCCCTCTCACGGACCGAAATAAACCTGCGGTGTGGGCGGCCACCCCACGCGAAGCGGGGTGAATAGTTCAACCAATTAGCTATGTTAATTAACTGGGATTACCTAGTGGCAACTGCCAATAGCTATGTTTAGTGCACTTTGCAATAGTACTACATAAAAAGCATTCCTATTCATAGGTGACTTCCCGATAGTACTACAGATCCCCGACATGGATTGAAAATGTGTTCAAATGATGCATTCCCTGTCTGAACATCCAAAGTGTTACAAAAGGCTTTCTCCAATGAAAGAGATGTGGTCAAAAAAATAGATCATGGTCTTGGCCGGAAACAGTATGGATATCTTTGTGGCTTCTTGGCTTTGAAATCCCCTAGCTCGGTAGCCATGTTTAAAAGCACTCCTATTCATAGGTGAATTCCCAATAGTACTACGGATCCTCAACATGGATTGAAAATATGTTCAAATGATGCATTCCGTTTCTGAACATCCAAAATGTTACAAAAGGCGTTTTCTAATGAAAGAAACGTGATCAAAAGATTACATCATGGTTTTGGTCGGAAACAGTATGGATATAGTTGTGGCTCCTTGGCATTGCAATCCCCTGGAGGCAGCTCAGTAGCCATGTTGAAAAACATTCCTATTATATATCCTATTCATAGGTGGCTTCCCAATAGCACTGCAGATCCCCAACGTTGATTGAAAATATGTTCAAATGATGCCTAATGATGCATTCCCTTTCTGAACATCCAAAATATTACACATCACAAGGCGGTCTCTAATAAAAGAGATGTGATCAATGGTCGGACACAGTATGGATATCGTTGTGGCCTCTTGGCTTTGCAATCCCCTGGGGGCAGCTCAGTAGCCATGTTTAAAAGCACTCCTATTCATAGGTGAATTCCCAATAGTACTACGGATCCCCAACGTGGATTGAAATTTTGTTCCATTGATGCATTCCGTTTGATTTCTGAACCTCCTAAGTGTTACAAAAGGCTCTCTCTAATGAAAGAGACGTGATCAAAAGAATAGATCATGGTTTTGGTCGGAAACAGTATGGATATAGTTGTGGCCCCTTAGCTTTGAAATCCCCGGAAAGCAGTTCAATAGCCATGTTAAAATAACATTCCTTTTCATAGGTGACTTCCCAAAAGTACTACAAATCCCCAACATGGATCGAAAATATGTTCAAATGATGCATTCCGTTTCTGAACATCCAAAATGTTACAAAAAAGGCTTTCTCTAATGAAAGAGATGTGATCACAAAAAAACTTTGGGAAGCTGTGAAAAGAAAACAAACCTAGCTGTTGGATGACCGTGCGCCGCCATGTTGACAGCATTCTGACATTGTTGTTGACATTGTTGACGGCATCGTTTTTCACTTTAACGTAGCTTTTCGCCGTTGCAAGACCTATAATCTCCACGTCTACGTTTAACTTCCAAAATCCGAAAAATCAAAAAAACACATCCAGCCATCAAAAATGACAATGAACCAGATGTTGCAACATCCCTTTTCACACCAGAATGGACTTTTAACATAGCCATGGAGCTGAACTGTGCAAGCACTTTTTGACCGTTTAACGTAGCTATTGAGCGTTGCAAATTGTCTTCTCCACATCTAGGTTTAAGATGCAATTTGAGAAGATTGCGTTTTTCAAGGTGTTTTGGACAATTAAACATGGCCAAGATATGTAGGGTGCAGCTCACACGTTAGTTTCCTGATATTTGGCCACTGCGCCCGCGTAAAATAGTACGAATGTAATGTAAAATAATAGAATATATAAAATAATACAAAAAATAATATCAAATAATATAATACAATATCAAATAATATAATTTAATATCATATAATATAAACAAAAGAATATATTGTAAAAATATCATATATCATTTGATTTTCAAGATAATATTATATGTAATATAACAAATTTAATAAACCATATAATATAAATAATATATAATACTTAATATATAATACTTAAGTTATAATGTATACTAAATAATATATAAATTTAAGTATCTAATATATAATATTTGATATCTACTATATAATATAATATTTGATATATTATATTAAAATATTATATAATTCAATGTAACATTTCAATATAATACAATACAATATTTTATATAATATAATATAATATATATTTTTTAAATATAATATTAGATTGAATACATAATAATATTGAATATATAATAATATTGAATATATAATAATATTGAATATATAATAATATTTTGTGTAAGACAATATACTAGTTAATATAACATAATATAATATAAGACAATATAATAAAATGTAATATGATGTAATATAATTAAAACAAATCATATAATATAGTATAATATAATGTATATTATATAATATATAATATATAATATATAATATATAATATATCATATATTATATATAAAATATTATGTATTATATATAATATAATATAATATAAGATAATATAATACAATATATAGTATTACATGTACTATGAGATAATATGATGTAATATAACATAATATCATATCATATCATATAATATTTAATATAATATAATATAAGGTAATATGATATAATATAATTTAATATCACATATAGTATAATGTAATATAATATAAAATAATATTATATTATATTATATTATATATTATATAATATATAATATATAATATATAATATATAATATATAATATATAATATATAATATATAATATAATATAATATAATCTAATCTAATCTAATATAATATAATATAATATAGTATAGTATAGTATAATATGTAATATAATATAATATAATATAATTTAATATAATATAATATAATATAATATAAAATATAATATAATATTATATAATATAATATAATATTATATTTTGTTTTATTCTTTTATATTATATAACATAACATAATATTATTTAATATAATATAGTTGTTTCTGAAATGTTCACATGATGCAAGATCGGAAATTCACTTTTGAATCTTGTGGGGATACAAATTGGGTTTTTAGGTTTTTGGCTCTGCCATGTTTTCTGGACAAAGAATTGTGTTTCCTGTGGCTGTGGCAAGGCTCCCCCGCCAAGACGACAAGCGGGAGCCAGAACTCAAGAGGCGGGCTGCCCAGGCTGTCTTGAGGCTGTCTTTAGGCCGTTTCCAGGCTGTTTCCATGCTGTCTCCATGCTGTCTCCAGGCTGTCTCCAGGTTGTTTCTAGTTTTCTTACCGTTTCTGAATTTCAAATCGGTTCTAATCGTTTCCTTTTACTTCCTATTTGCTTGCCAGAGTGCCATTTCCTATGGTTTTGTGCCTCTCAGACTTGCAATTCCTTTGACTTGTGAAGAAGTAACGGCTGTGACGTTTTACAGAAGTTCTTGGCTGAGGAAACTTGCTTGCTGCTGGTGCCTCAACGTGTGGTTGCCGTATATTACTGTGTAATTACAGCGGTTTATCCAGACTTCAACTGCCGATGCGAGGCGCATTCCAGCCCCAGCATATCGCCAGGTCATTGAGCCGAAACCTGGAAGATCCTGGAAGTTTCTTTGGTATTTCTGATATTATTTGGTATTATTTTTTTGATAATTTTTGAATACTTTTGATACTGGATCTGACGCAATGTTTGGTTATAAAACGTGCTTTGAAAAGTTTTGCATACCTGTACAATCCTTGAGATATCTGTGACATTCTTTGATAGCGTTAAAATTAGAACTTCTGCAACAGGATTTGGTACTGTGTCTTGCCTGAAGTGAAAAGTATCTTCCAAAATGTTTCAGGCAGTTTTTTTTTAACAGTTTCGCACAAAGTTCCCCGAATGTGTCCCAAGAGATGTTCTGCAGAACTTCTACACGTTCCTACCTTCAAATTTCTCTTGCATGCACGGTATAGATCACAATTCGTTTGTTTCATTTTGTTCCACAGTGTCCGTGTCAAAGTTTTTTGGAGTGCTTGACACATAGGTCATCAGTCATACGTTGTGATGATTGTTCTTCGTTTCTGGCCTCTGTTTTCACTGTGCCTTTCATAGTGTTCTGCCAGGTGTCTAACAATATGAATATGATATTGTGATGCATAGTATTGTAAAACCAACTATGCCGGAAAGTGATTGCGTTTGTAAATTTGTCTCACATGGTGCCTGACAGTTTTTATGCGATCTTGTAGACGCCTTCAGGGTTCATACGCTGCAAGGTATGTGTAGCTGTTTGCATATTGTATATGTTTGCATCAGGTTGACAGGGTGGTTTGCAATGTATCTTTCAGATGATTTGGCATTTAGACTGCTTAGCGCTGTGTGGAGTGTGGCGTACTGCAACAGTCCGAACGACATGGTGTGTTGCACAATGCGTGGGCGTCATGCTAAGTGTTCACGCCCAGGGTCCTATAGTTCTTCAAGTGCCTTTGCAGACTCTTGGGAAAAGTATTCTACAAATTGTTCTGTTGAATGGCATTTGATGATTTGTATACACACATAATATTATATGCAAGTATCGTACATATATATATATATACACTATAATATATATTGATATATATTATATATACAAGGCTGCGTATATCTGTGATATCGCTGATTAGTATATGTGCCATATATTCTCACTACATTTAGATATTTACTGTTATTTACTGTTATGGCCGGAGCGGATCATCCTTTCACACCTCAATCGCGGTTGCCAGGCTTTGGGCCTGGATGGAAAGCGCTCAAGGTGCGCTGGAAGCGATATCAATGTGAAGCGACTTGTGGGTTTTGATTGAAATTGTTGATTCATTTGACCAAATGTGTTTTTTTGACCCAAACAAGTTTTTGTAATTCGTTTTCGGTTCTTTTTTCTCAAGGAGCGATGGAGAGGGGGAAGAGGACCAGCGCCTATCTCATTTGTTTTGCAGCATCCAAGTCATACAAACCTCTATTCCTGAAGGAGTGAAACAATGCACAACAAGACACTTCTTCAGTTTTGCCCAAAAGTTGAAGTGTGCAGTGAAGGAGGAAGCCGCTTTGCTACCAGAGGTTCGGAGGAAGGTGCCAAGAGCACCATGTCTAGGGGCAGCTGAGGGAGACAGCTGGAGACAGCCACTGTGTTTCTGTCTGTGCAGTAGGCCAGAAGTGGGAGTCTCATTGCGCGGTCTACAGAAACTTCAACCATTGGCTATCAATTATTTTTCATTTGCTCTTCTATTTTGCAATTTGTAGAGATGCCGTTCTCCAGGTGCAAGCGTTGTCCCGTTCACCGCTCTTTGAAGGGGCTGCTGCCAGCAATTTGGTTCTCTTAGCGACCAATGTGCAGGCCAGAACGTCCAAAGATGTCCATGGTGTTTTTGGGAGAACTGTAGAAGAGTCAACCTGTGTCTCTCCTTTCGATGCGTTGACGAATGGGCAGCATGTACTACATATTACTACATTATCTACATTGTGCTCTAGCAAACAAAACTACAACCCAAAGCATAAAAATATAGTGGCACAAATGTGAGGAAGTGGCTTTGCGCCATGATGATGTTTTTGTCGAAATCAACCAGGCGCGGCCAGCGCTGACATGTAGCCTGCAACTATCTTGCAACTGATGCACAGAGGTAAATATGCACTCCAGACATGCGCCCCTGTATGCTCTGCTGTAGACATGACTCCAGAGGCAGTTTTTGAGGTCTGACTCTTATGATTGAGGAGTGGCCATTGCAGTAAACAGGGTGAAAGCCTGGCTACATGGTTTGATAACGGGTGTTATGACTGTTATGCGAAACCTGTCTTCCACCGGAGTACAGTGAGTACACATCGGATATGCGGGTGGTGCACCAGGTCGCACCGGGTGTTCGATGTAGATGTTGTCTGTGCTTGAAGCCTAGCGTAGGAATCTTGACCAAGTCTCTCCTAGCCTTGTCCTAACGCAGGCACTGCAGGCGTGCTTCTTGATCTCTGAAGGGTATGTACGCGTATCAGTCCCCGCAGTGGATATGGAAGCTAAGCTTGGAAGTCTGGAAGATGCATCTCGAATCCTGGGGATGGGTCGTCTTCCTGATGCGAAGATGAAGGTAACAAACACAGGTGCAGCATCTCAATTCCCTGGCCATCCTCATTCAAGTCGCACCAAGGGCAGGGGCAACCAAAGGCGTACAAGAAGCCCTGCAAGTCCCAAAAACTCGGGGCAGAACCAGCCAAAAACTGAACCTGGCGCAAGTAGATTTGCAAAACTGGGGGAGGTCCCAGTTTTTCAACTGGGTGAGAGACCTTTACTGCTTCCACCCACAAATTCTCTAGCAAGCCACGATAGTGGACGTCCATCACGCTTTGTGGCAAGAAAGCACGGGACTCCCAGACGAGGAACTCCGTGGGAAAAATCGTTGCGTCAAGATCGTGTAGCACCGTTTTTAGGATCCCATGCACTTTCTGGTGATATTGAGATGTGTTTGCTTCACGCAGGTGAAGCCTTCGGCTTGGGAAGTCTTTTTGATCCCAAGGGTGAATGCTCGTATTTGTCAAGTTGTGAGGTTCGGGTGCAGAGCAGCGAAGCCAAGATTCTCGTTTTGACACCTGGAAGTCTCCTTTATCTCAACGAGACTTTGGCGCGAAGCTTGGTTGAGAAGGCGAAGAATCAAGAAGATCCGGTAGCACCGTCCCTCAAAAACATCAAGCGTGAAAGGCTGAATCGGTCACACTGGATGGTTCGAAAACAGCATGTGCTGCACCGAGTCGTAATGCAAGAAAATTAACGCTGATCGCAACAATTTATCCAAATGACAGCAGAGAGGCAAGACAACAACCAGGCTTTCATAGGCGTCAGATGGCTTGAAGGTCACTTTCAGAGGCCTCAATGTTAGGCTTTTGCACCAGTCTTCCGTTTTAACAGTTTGACTCGCATCTTTGCCCAAACCACAGAGCTAAAATGCTTTCAGCAAGAGGCGATTCGTGGCTGGTCAAAGTGCTGCTTGCTACAAAACGTAGCACACAGCTACACCGGCGGTTCAGAGCACTGAGTTGAAGTAAGATGTAAAACTGAGGCAGGGAACAAGCCAATGACTGCACGGTACTTCAGTTTGTTTGACTTTCTGTGTGATGTATCGTGGTATAATGCAGTGAAGTGTGTAGTGAAGCGCGCTGCAGCGTAGTGTAGTAGAATGTCGAAGGTATTCCTCTGCAACAAAGTGCAGTGTAATTTGATTCGAGGCAATGCAATGCAATGTAGCGTTCTGTCCGCATGCAGGTATGTAAGTACGAACATGTCACACAGAGGCGATTGCAAATCACAGTAATCACCTTAGGACTCCGACATCCAGGGTTGCACTTTCAGTTTTCATCATAGATATGGTAGGCTTGATAGATAGGTGGAAAAAATTAAGCGGCATTCCAGGACCACTTTTGCAGATCCGTAATGATTTTCGCATCACCGGACTATGGTCACGGCACTTTGTAATTGATTTTCGTTCTGACCTCAAGTGCTCCAGGGCATCCGAGCTCTTCGAAGTTTCAACATGTTTCACAAGATGTTTCACAACATCTTTCACAAGATGTTTCACAACATGTTTCAACCCTGCTGACTTGGAATGATCAGTTTCTTCAGTTTCTTCAGTTTCTCGTTCAGCTGGGTATGGTCGAGGCGTGAGCAATGGCTGCCGACAGGTGCACTCGTATCGTGACGAAATCAAGACAACACAAAGAGATAACATATTCTTCGGGCATGATTGTTGAAAGCATTTAATTATATTGTATTACAATTACTATCAATGTCAATTTTTATATTACACATTTAATATTATATATAATATATTATGTTATATTATATTACAATGTATTGTATTATATTTTATTATACGGTTTATTTTATTTTATATTTATATTATATCATATTATATTACATGATATCATTGATATTATATTATATTATATTGTATTATATTATGTCATATTATATTTTATGATATGATATTATATTATATTACATTTAATCGCCGGCTATTCAGGCTGAGTGCAGGTTTGCTGCATGACTGGGCAAATATTGGTGTCAGGACCCAAGACTCTGCAGGATGCATCGCACTTTTAAGAGTGGTGCAGAACCTGCAACGTCACGGCAAAAAGTCTTCTTTCAACTCCTTTCATTTTTTTCTATTTATTTTTCCGTGCTGGAAAACCCATCGTTTTCCGCCGTTTTCCATGGTTTTCCACCGTGGCTCTGTGTCCGGTGTGGTTTTGTCAGGTCCTCACGATGATCTTCGCTCTGAGTCTTACAGCTCTTGCAGCTGGCGAGGAGATCTCTTGGTTTCTCGCTATGCCACTTGAGCACGATTCGCAAATGGAGAATGTGGGACGTGGCCACTTCATGTTCGAACTTTAAACGCATTTCTGCTGTAAAATTGCAAGGGTTTTGGGCTCTTAGGCTAGTTCCATGCAGATTCTGCACGCCTTGTCCTCACAAAAGACAGGATTCACAGCTCCACAGTGTGGTCATAGCTGTGACAATGGCCTACTTGATCAGCGATGCCCTGTGGATACTGCTTCAACCTGATATGGTCATGCCCTCGAGTTTCTGGCTTCGCCTCGACAGCAGAGCAGGATATTCGGAACGTGTGAAGCGTGAGGCCAATCGGATTCCAACTTGTTTTCACGTCCAACATTTCATGGTGTGGAGGTTGCCTTCGTTTTTTGAATGTCAGTTCTTGAGGTCAAAACACCAAAGAGCATCATCGCTCACCACATCGCTTGGCCCTTACCTGCTTTGCTTGTGAGGTGACAGTCGGCCAGAGTTGCCCTTTCCTGCGTTTCCTGTGACTTGGGACAGAACATGCTCAGGTGACAGTTGTCGTGATAATGGATACGCTTGAATTTGCGCCTCGCCACTAGGGCCTCACATTGGCCTCACCTTCTACAGGAGGGTTCGTGTGGGCAACGTGTAATATGACAAGCGAGTAGTACGGTCTTGCTTTTCAATCATTTCACAATGCGTGTACTTGTTCATCATTAATCCCTTCTCCCTAATACTAAACGTCCCCCCCTAATAATAAACACTGCAAGTAGTTTTTAGTATTAGGGTGGTATTTATTATTATTATTAGGTTCCCCCTAATTCTAAATTAAAACCCTTAATAATAAAAACTATTTTTTCCGATCTCAAAATCAATTAAATTTCTTTATATAACGCAATTAAAATATTGCCAAAAATGGGATTTCGAAGCTTCCCCCTAATACTAAACACCCCGGGGTTGACTAGTTTTTAGTATTAAGGGGGGAAACCCACAAATGGTACGTTGGTTTTTAAATTGTTTTCTAAAGGGGATCAATTAAAAATCAAATTGGCCAATCTGAAATTTTCAAAAATTGGAGATGGACACTAGTTTTTAGTATTAGGAGGGGGTTTAGTAATAGGAAGAAGGGATTATCATCATTGTTCATCCCGTTTTTCTTTTTGTAATTGTACTTGGGCATTTATCACGAGGTGTCTGGATTATGCTCTGTTTCCCTGCCTCCCGGCTCCCTGCCTCTGCCTGTCCGCTGCAAAGCATCGGAAGGTGGAGGAACGCAGCACGGGGCAACAACGGGCAACACATGCATTTGTCAAATTTGTGTGTCCGTCTGGTCGTGGCATGGCATTGCACCAGTCTCCCACTGGGGCAATCCAAATGACAATACCAATCTTCAGTGAGATCACAGAATTTTAGCAAGGAACAATAAAAAGACAGAGAAAACGATCAGCAAAACGTGTTGGGATACGGAACAAAGGCAGCCAACATAGGTCCAGGTCTAAGTCTGGCTTTTATATGCTTTTATAATCTTTTATATGCATTAAAGATGTTAATCCCGCATTCATGCAGGCGTGTGATAGATTTCCATATAAGTTCATGGACACCTACTGGCACACAAGCAGTGTTCCTCGTGATGGCCATCAACCTAAAGGTTTAGATCAACCACCATACCATGGGAATTGATCTACAGGTCCTCGCAAGGAGTTCTCAATGCGATGACCATTCATACCATTCTTCTTTCCGTTGTGAATGTTGTTTTTGAGTTCGAGAAAATCACATCTTCGTGCACCGAGGATTTGCGGGTGCTGCCAGATATCATGAATCTATATCTTAAACCAAAAATTAAAATGCACAATTAAACTCATTATAGGGTACTTGCGAAAAGTTCTACGAAGGAACGTGCCAATGGGAAAGCGCAATTGCATGGGATGGCCCAGTAAGGCTTACAAATGTAACCCCAGCCGTAACAAGAGATTCTGTGATGCTACCAGGCAGTGACTGGGTCTTGTCTTCTAAAGAGGTTTTGTTGCCCCAGAACGTAGATCGAATTCTTGAAATCATAATTTTCAGCGGAATTTGTTTACCACGTGGGAATTTAACTGATTTAACATTAAACAGATTGAACATGTTCAGGCAAACGAAACTCAAGCCAACACGCTACCGGAGTGCCAGGAAGTTCACCGCCATAACCAGAGTTCACTAGTTTGGAGTAATGCAAATTTCAGCTGGTACGACATCCTGCACTATTTTGGAATAGGTTCCTTAATTACAAACGCCCAATTGTCCAGGGTTTATCAGCTAGATCAATGCTAGATGGGGTGAACTAGGGCCTATCATTGACACTTAGGCTATTATTGTAGATCGTATCCTGCAAAAGACAAAGTTGGAGTTTCTGAAGGTAACATTGCTTTTCCGCGAAGGAATAACACAATAGATCCACAACGATTTGCCACACGACTTTGGACACACAATTTGTTGTTTGGTTGGTTGGTGTTGTGATGTGCAAAGGCAAGCCATCGAGTCAATGCCAGCAGAGCATTGCTGGTGGAGGCCTGGCATGTTGGCTTAGCTCAATGCAGTACCGGAAAGCCCCGCATGCTTCAACCTGATGGTGTTGAGCGTGGGTTCATTTCGCGGGTGGTTGGTTGCACCATGTCTCTTTTGCTCCTAATTTCCATTGTAGGCATGTCCTGGTGATGGTGATGGTCATGCTGATGATGACGCTGCTGCTGCCGCTGCTGCTGCTGATGATGGTGATGATGATGGTGATGATGATGATGATGATGATGATGATGATGATGATGGTGACGACAGCCGACAGTGCTGCGGCGGATGCTGATTCAAAATGGGAGGACAAAGACGGGAGAGGACAAACAAGAACAAGAACAACAACAAGAACAAGAACAAGAACAACAACGACGACGACGACGACGACGACAACCACAACCACAACCACAACCACAACCACAACCACAACCACAACCACAACCACAACCTGAACGACAACGACAACAACGACAACAACGACGACAACGACGACAACGACGACAACGACGACAACGACCGCAACGACCACAACGATCACAACGATCACCACGACCACAGTGGCCACAACCACACCGACAACGGCAATGACATGCAATGACAATGACAACGACGACGACAACGACCCCATCGACCACAACGACCACAACGACCACAACCACCACAGCCACCACAAGGACCCCTACGACAACATCATCATGGGCATCATCATCGTCATCATCAGGATCAGAATCATCAGGAGAGTTATTATCGTCATTGTCATCACCATCACCATTATCGTCGTCATGACCACCATCATTACCATCATCGTCATCACTACCATCATCACCACCACCATTATCACCGTCGTCATCGTCATCGTCATCGTCATCGTCATCATCATCATCATAATCATCATCATCACCACCAGCATCAGCATCATCATCATCATCATCATCGTCGTCGTCGTCATCATCATCATCATCATAATCATCATCGTCGTCATCATCGTCGTCATCATCGTCGTCATCATCATCCTCATCACCACCATCACCGTCATCACCGTCATCACCACCATCACCACCACCACCATCATCACCGTCATCATGATCATGTCTCACTCGCACGAGTTTTTTGTGCATTTCCCCAAACATGAGGGTTATCACATGAAATCACTCTGTGTGAGATGCGCCCGGAGGTCAATACTGTTTTGCTCACGCTCCGGCGGCTGCTGGGCCGCCCATGGT